CACTGAGTTCTAGTTGTGTCCTCTTTTGGAAGACCAAACAAAGTAGTTTCGGTTTCACAACGAAACACACAGTGACTCCACAACATGGCAGCGGTGGCAACAGCAAGAATTAAAGTAACGCCTTCTTTTTTTGCATGACCATTTGGGCGGCGTTATGCAAATCTTCCCACATCGTGACGTAGACATGTGGGGGCGTGTTAGAACGAGCCGTTTTAGGTAGGTGTGGTTGACTCTTAACTTTAATAAAGAATATCTCTTTGGATTTGAGACTTTAGTCTTTGCAACTTTACAGATCTTCTTCATGCACCAAGAGCTTGTAACACTCCAAAGAGAAAGGAAAAATTGAAATCGCATCATATGACCCCTTTAAAGCATCCAAAAATGAAAATTTGCTGAAAGTTTACTCACCCTCTGGTAATTCAAGGTGTAGATGGTTTTGTTTCTTCATTGGAGCAGATTTGGAGAAATGTAGCATGACATCACTTACTCACTAATGGATCCTCTGCAGTGCATGGGTGCCGTGAGAATGAGAGTTTAAACCACTAATAAAAACATCACAATAATTTATACAACTCCAGTCCATCAATTATCATTTTGTGAAGCAAAAAAAATGCATGTTTTTTTTACAATAAACTGTTGCTTCTGTCTAAAACGGAAAAGTCCTCTATCCATAGTATTGCTTGCTCCAGTAAAAACAATGTCTCATCTGAATCAGGAGAGAAATATGCACAGATGTTTACAAGCAAAAACATAAATATGTTGGTGTATTTTGATGTAAGAGGACAACAGGAGATGGACCTTCCCACTGGAGGAAGCGTTATTATGGATCATGGACTCTATGGATTATGGCATGTTGGCCAGAAGTGATACTTTAAAGTTAGAACATCTTAATGATGGATTTGTTTCTTACAAACAGGCAGCTTTTCACTTCACAAGACATTAACTGATGGACTGGATTACTGTGATGATTTTATCAGCTGTTTGGACTCTCATTCTTAAGGATATCTATTCAATGCATTGGTCCATTGGTGAGTGATGTAATGCTAAATTTCTCCAAATTAGCTCTGAATAAGAAACAAACTCATCTACATCTTGGATGGCTTGAAGGTGACCGCATAGAAAGAAACCACACAGAAATGGCTTCGCAACGACATTGTACAAAACACCACTTGCGTTTTTCTTCAGAGAATGTAAAAAACATTTTCAACAATCTATTCAATTGATTGCGCACCTTCATCACTTCATCACCTGATGGCCTGTCATTTGTTAAGTAATCACTGTGTCGACCGATGAAGTTTAATTAGGAACATTTCACTCTCTCATCAGTCATCACGTTAAATCTCTTCATGACATCATAACGCCCTGCTCTGTCCACAAAATTAGCCGCCTTTTGTTTGACACGTCTGAGCAGCATGGAGAATGACAGGCACAAGCCGGCTTTGATCTCCGTGAGGAGCCGACTGGATTTCTTTTGCTCATCCATGGGGTGAAGCGAGAGGTTAAATCAAAGGCGTTTATCTGCTGAGAGGCCATTGCCATCTCATCACGCTGTAAAAACATTTGCTCATTCACACCTGCTTTCAAAGTACCTGGCTAACAGCCCTTGTCAGGTGTGATCAGAGACTATTAGAGGCGCCACAAGTTCATATGAGTCTAGAGAAAAGTTCAACAGCAAGAGGGCATTTCACTTCAATCATAGCTAGAAGTCATTAAATATGGGTCAGATAGCGAGAAAAGCAAATCGAAAAGAAGAACTTCCTGTCCTGAAGACAAACACTGAAGTATTTAATCAAGAAAATAAAGAAATATGACTTCCAGAAAGTACAGTTGGATGTTTATTCCCAGAACTGGCCTAAAGATGGGACCCAGTAAATAATGCAGAAATGCAGCAGCTGTTGTCTGGCTGCGTCTTCTAACTGGATGTGATGGGTAAATGTCTAATGCTTTGTGGGTCTGTGTGTGTCCCTCCGTGTTGAGGTTTTGTTGCCTGTGTGTGTTCTGTCAACCTGGGTGACTGAATTATACATCTCTCGTGACACATTAAGTGTGGCCCATACATTTACAGAGCAACGACACACAAATCAGAGCAGGCTAGAGTGGTTTTGCCCCATGTTAGGTCATGTATTGATCCCAAATTATCTTTTTTTTTCTCCTTTCATAATGTCACATGGACTAAATCTCTAAATAAAGGTTCTTTATTGGCATTGATGGCGTCATGAACAATCTTCAGAACATTTCCATTGCACAAAAGGGTTCTTTAAAGTGGAAAAGGGTTCTTTCGATTATTCAAATGTTCTTCAGATTAAGCAAAAATGGTTCTAAGAACTTTTCACTGAAAGTTTGCATCACTGCAGAAAGCAGAGTTACAACAATGAGATTATGATCATGAAATATTGAATTTTTCTGATTATTAACATTAGCCTACTTATTTCTCATCACGTTTGACATTAAAAAAATTCTGCTGACATGCACTGTACCTTTCTCACTGCAATTCAGTCAGGAACAGAACTTCAGGAACAGCACTGAAAAAAAAAGCATAAATGTTTAATGTTTACAAATTCCAGCAGTGATTTCAAGTCAGGGCGATTTTTAAATAATTTTGCATTATGAATTTCAAGTTTCAAACTTCAAGAATTTCAAGTTTCAGGTAGCATTATCCTGCAAGTTGACATGCTATAAATCATTAAAACTACTTTTTTTTTTTTTACTACACCATTCTGTATAATTGTTAGCATGTTTTTATGACCTAACATAAAGAGATTACATGGATTACTTGTCACACTGCAGGACTATTTAAAATGAACTAGTGAAGGCACATTGCCTTGAACACATGCACATATAAACTTAATATGTTGATGTTTAATAAAATAAAATGTTAACATGGAGAACAAAATGTATCACAGAAAAAAACATGTAAAAAAAATCACATCAACATCAACATATTAGAATGATTTCTGATGGATCATGTGACACTAAAGACTGTGGGTATAATGGCTGCTGAAAATTCAGTTGTCATCACAGGAATAAATTACATTTTAAAATATATTCAAATAGACAGCGAACACATAAAAAAAAAAAAATCTTCCTGACCCCAAACTTTGAATGGTAGTTGTACGTATCAACCACACAAATGTATATACACAAAATGTGCTTCTGGGACGAAATACACATTTTAAAAGAATTAACCATTTGTTTTTCATTCTAAAAAAACAATTAATCTAGAAATAAAATTCAGCCATGAATTTACTCATTTCCACCAGCGAGGCCGTGATGTTTGGAGTTGTCGTGAAAAGCTCTGTTGATCCCGAGGAACGCTCATGACACGCTGCTGTCCGTGATTACCATACCACAGCAGTGCCATTGTAGATCTTTACTGCAATTTGCATTCCTTCCTGATAAAGTGATGATCGCTGGACAGAGAGAAGCTGGCCTCAAAGGAAGTGACCTCAGGGCCTGATGGCATCTCCTGATTAGAGGGAAACTTGCTGCATAATGTTTTAATTCACATCTGTGTGCCCTCTCTTTACACTGCCAATTTCTCTCTTCCTGTTCTCTCGCTCTCTGCATCCTTCCCTCAAGTATCTCCTCAATCCTCCACTTATTCTCTCTCACTGTTCCTCTGTCTACATACTTCAAGCCCCTTTTTTAATCTTTCCTCATCCCTCCCTTCCTCTGTTTCTTTATCTCTCGCCCTCTTTCTCTCTTCCCTCACTTTGTAGTGCTCCTGGCATCCTTATCATGAATCGCTCATGTCTTTGTGATGAAAGGAACTGCCTTCATTTCCACAGGAATGCGCCCCTCTCAGTGTCCATATGGAAACACTTGCCAGACAGATTGGTTCTGTTTTTTACTCTTCCCTAGAGCATCAGACATGACTGATCGCGCTGTACATGTCCAGAATAGAGCGATATTAGGGGGACACGATAAGAAAAGAGAAGACACTTTTAACAAAATAACATAAAATAACAGTACACACCCCTGCTAAAGAAACATCCTAAATCAGACTAAGATGGTTTGCTGGTTTTCTCTGGTTTCCCAGCCTGGTCTTCTGCCCATTTTTAGAGGGGTTTTAATAAAATTAAAATGACATTTTATGCAAGACATAAAAATAGAAAAAAATACAGATGATAAACCAGAAAATATAACCAAACAATAATTTGGGGTACTTATAAATAAAAATGGAAAGACATGCAACTTCTGACCATAATTCAGTCAGGAACAAGACTTGAATGAAGATAAAAATCAAGATGAAAGTTTAATGTTTAGCTTACATAAACTCCCAGCAGTGCTTTCAAGTCAGGGCAATATTTAAATAATTTTTCATCTTAGTAATTATGAACATGAAATTTCAAGCTGCTTCAGCAGTATCCAGATGATAAACCAAACCAAAATAAAATAAAAAGTATTTGGGTTATTTCAAACAGGGAGAACTAAACCAGTTAAAAACTGGCTACTTGGCATACTTACAGGAAACAAGACCGCTTACAGGGACCTATTTTTTGTAATATCAGACTCAAAAAAACTAACTCTAACCCTAATTTAAAAATAACTGCAGGACTTGGGACTTTGAGACCACTGTGGACATCTATACTTTATTTTTATGAAATAAAGATATTTTATGCACAATATTTCAGTTGCACTAGTACTACACTTAAACAATAACTTTTATCCTTATTAACCTCTTATCCTAATTCTTAACAGTTGAACAAAAAAAAGTGTCTTTAAAAACTGTAGGAACACACTGCCTTTACCTGTACAACACATTTTATTTAACAATTTGAACATT